AAAAAGAGAACAATAAAAGGGGAGAGGTACGATGTGATACAAAAAAAGTAGAAATAAATTATATATATATATATACACACACATACACACACACACACACACACACACACACACACAAAGAAAAAAAAAAGAATCTCTAGAGAAAAATGTCGTTGAAAATCCGAGAAGTCTCTCTCACCTGACTTCGGAGCTTTGTGATGTTATGTCCTCCCTTGCCTATTATAGATCCAGCAACCTACAACAGAAAAATGCGTCGTAACGACGCGTCCAGGATTTATAAGTTAAGGACACGAGTTAGTTCACGACTATGATTTATTATGTATGTAAATACCTACATACAATACATACAAGGTGAATCAAAAGTTCTTACATAATATTTACAAATTAATTACTTTTTCTGTAAATTGTATGGCCCTTATAGTTTTACAATTTGGAAAAGAAATTAATCTATATAATAAAATGAAAATAAAAAGAATATATATATATATATATATATATATATAATATAGTATACTATATTATTATTATATTTATCAGTAATAATTAAGTAATTAGCAATAAACAATTTAAAAATAATTATATATACATATTATTTTTAAATATTATTGAACTTCAAAATCTAAATTTAATTTTGTATGTATATATATGTGTGTTATTTTTATATATTACTAATTTTAAAATCTGCATATAATTCTGTATGAAAAATTGAATGTTAAAATACATATTATTATTATTATTATTTACAAATTGTTAAACTATAATACTAGCTTACTCTAAAAATTACAAAAGAAAAAAAAAGAAAAAGAAAATTAAAGAAAATTAGTCTCGAAAAAGAGTAACTTATTTTTAAAATCACCCAAGAATTTTTGTTGTTACCCACCCTGTACATATAATACCTATACATATATACGTATACAACATGCTTGTCGCGTTGCGAATGCGACCTATTCTAGCCAACTAAGTTTCGCTTTCACCACGAGAGACCTCACCTTTTCTTCTCATTCTTCTTTTACTCTCACGTCTTTGCACCTGCTATACAACATTACCAACAAGCACGCGACATCTTTTCTCAAGAATCAAATTTCTTTCTTGCTTTTCTTTTTCCATAGACCTTTTCTTATTTTTCCTATTTTTTGCATTTTATGTTCATTTATTTACTTATTTATTTAATTTTGTTCACTCGAAAAAAATTATGGTAAAAATTTTCCATAATTATAAATATTTGTAAATTGTTTTACATTTCTTTTTCTTTTTTTTATATCAAGTCTTTTTTCTAATATTTTTGTTTTATTTATGTCTTTTTCCTTTAATAATAATAATAATAATAGTAATAATAATATTAATAATAGTAATAATAATAATAATAACAAAAAGAAATAATTTGAAAAATTTATATTATATAAAATATCCTCGAAAAAAAGAAAATGAAAAAAAATTTCAAATTCAAATTAAAGAAAAGAATCAAACCTTTGGTCCTCATCGTCGAGACGTTCAATCTTAAAAACAAGTCTCCATGAAAATTTGTAACACTAATTATTTATGACACAGATAATATGAAAAAACTAAATTTCTTCGTGATACTATTCCGAAAATGTATATATATATAATACACACACTTGCGCATGAATACTCGACATATTTTTTATGTATATAATTTTTTTTATATATAATATATCTATGAACAAAATGATTTATCATAGAAAAGTTTTTCTCGAACATATTGTTTTTTTTAACAAAAATAATTGTTATATGTATACAGTTATGATTTATTATTTACATATAATATATAGTATATTATATTAAAATATTATATTAATATATTAATTAGTAATATTTAAAATAATAAATAGTAATAATAATAATAATATACAATATATTATTCTATAATTGTTATAAATATATATATACACATACATTACATATAATTATTTCTGCCCAAAAAATAAAGCACATATAACGAAAAAGAAATTTCTCTGATAGATCATATTCTTTTTTCTCTCATAACGAATCGTATCGTTAGCTAGAATAAATATCCTAGAAATGGAAAATACCGTGTCAAGGTACGGAAAATGATACGTTCTAGTACGGATAACTCTACTTGTTACGACAAAAACGACCAACAGAAACGAAAAGAGTGGGAAAGAGAGAGGGGGGGGGGGAGGGGGAGAGAAAGAGAGAGAGAGAGAGACGAGGCCGTCCATTCGTTCACTCATTTGCAATAATTACACTTAGTCGTCGTGAATGAGTTCACTTTTGAAAAACGTTCCGTAACGACCCTGACAACGGACGGAGTTATTATATTTCGACTTGATTACGTCGATCGACGAGCTCAATAAGCGCAATCGGTCTCGCGCGACTGCACGAGATCAATAGATCGACATGTAAGAGGCGATCTTACGATACATATATACATACATACATATACATATGCATACGATTATTGCTTGTTTTTATCGATATTTTCTATATCGTGGGACTATCGATATGAACTAAGAACTAT